TGTGTGTGTGTGTGTGTGTGTGTGTGTATATGTGTACGTGTGTGTTGAATGCATCTTGTCCGCAACTTTCAACTCGGGGACTGCAAAAGCTAGGGAACCGAAATTTTAGGTGTATGTTCCTCGCCTAGTGCAGCTCCCGCAAATTTGATTTCAGCCTCCCCTTTCCTCTGCGTCCCACGTACTACCTAATGAAGGTTTTGGCGAGCAAAGTTATTATTTTGGGAATTATGAAAGCTTGGAAGTTGAAATTTTAGGGTATTGACTCCTGCCCACGTGTGACTTTGCAGCCTTAATTTTAGCTTTCCCGCGCACTTGTGGGTTACGTACGACTCCTTGAAATTTTTGGCGGGAAAATTATTGCCCGGAAGCCAGAAGAGGTAGGGAAGACTGCAAGTTTCAGAAGGATGTTTTCCGCATGTGCAAGGGCCACAAAAACTCAAATTTAGTTCGCATTTATGCCGAGTTCTCACGCACGAATACGTAAGAGTTTTGGCACAAAAATCGCTCAAAGGCCAGAAAATTAGGAGGTTAATTTTGGAAGATGTTCACCACAGAGTGTTTTAGTGGGAAATTTTTCAACTTAGGAATCAGACACATTTCAGCTATTTTTGCACAGACCAAAGTGCAAAGCTGTGGAAGTCCTCAGCAGACAAACGCTCGCAGGTCAGAACTGCGCAAAACGCATGATCGCACTGGCTACTCTGGTGCGTGCCGCTATCTTTTATTGTGTAGCGATGTGACCTTGCTTAATCCGATGGTCAGGTTGATGATGTTCCATTTCGCTGTTACTCCAAAATTTAAAAAAATGCGAGACTGTATCTTACGGCATGCTTAAAACTACTAGAGTTTAGATCCGCCGTACCTCGATGCTGCGTAGTCTGTTGCTATTCATACAATAAGATGAAGTGAGCAGAAAAGCTGTGTCAAATGGAACACGCACTCGAAGATGAATAGTAGCAAACTGTGGAGATGAATTTATAGTCTATGAACAATGAATGTTCTTGGACGGAGTGCAAGGAAATAAGGTGTATATTTTATTGTCTTCATTGACATTCTCAGTTTTTTTTTTGGACAGAGAGAAACCATTCGAAGCAAAAAGGAAATACAAAGCATTTCATTTTCATCTGCAAATTCATGAGCTATGTTCAGCGAATGTCTGTGCTTCAGAGGCACATAACTGATCTGTGCAGAATTCTTAGGACTAATTTATATGAGTTTTTAGCGAAACGATAGAAACATTGACAATTTTTTTGTTTAAAAGATGAAACAGAAATGAAACATAATTCAAAAAATTTACTTGCTGTGCGCTATTGCTAATACTCACGTACATAATTACTATGTAACATTATGCGAATAACTCACAAAGAAATCCGCTGAAATTATATTTAATATATACAGATATGCAACTAAAGAGAACTGAAGTGTCGACAGTGTATTTGAGCAGCCTCAGCCTCGCTTTTTTCTCATTAATTTCTGCTTATCCAAAGGCATTTATGCAACCCAAAAATTATTACCCTCATCCTACCGAAATAGTTTTTTCCCTGTCGTTTACTGATGCGTTTCCAGTACAAGTTCACATATGTTTTGGAGCCATTTCAATATTTCCAGGAGAAATGAACTTCGTGGAAAATACAGATGGTAATATATGCTTCAGCTCTATCAATAAAATTTATAAGAGGTTGCAACATAGCAGACTTTTCACAGCTCAGCAATTCCAAACGTTCTTTTGTCCCTTACAACACTCATATTTACTTACAACAACGAAAAAAGAAAATCCAAACTGCGACGCACCAGGTTTGCTGGTGCAATCATGCGTTTTTGCGCTAGGCTGCAGCAGTCGGATCATTAACAGCAGGTATGATTGGTGCACTGCGGTTTAACAAGTTGACCCATGTTGGTTGTGTCTTGGCATTTTTCTGTATACAAGTGGAAGGGGCGTCGACTGCGATAACAGTGTTGCATTATGTGGTACGTGAACCTCCAGCGTGTGTGATTTTCAATTTTGCATAAAGCCCAATCGTTTTCCTGGTGAGTGGTTCTTCACCGAAAAATGTAGATTTGACAATGCGTAGGATGCCCGAAGAGAAAAATTAGGACATCTACAAAATGCACTCGCTATTGAGTCTGTGACAAAATTGAGTATTTCTCAAGTCCGCGCGCACGGAACTTCGCCTCCAAGCCAGATTTAGACAACGCATGAATTATAAAATATCTTTGCAAAGTTTCAGCTTCGCAGTTAAGCAAAATCGCCTCTTTGCAGCAAATACTTTGACGCACTCCAAAGCGTGTCCCAAGCGCAATTCGAAACTCCATTTAAGTCTACGACTTCCCAAAAAGACGACAAATATTTTAGCAAAATTTTAGCTACTGTTTTCTCGCTAATTTTCAAGTTAGCAAGGTGCCAACTGCATACTTTGTCGTGATTCTATATGATGTGTAAGTGTGCGCGATAGCTGAACTTCTAATCTTTAGTGCACAATTGCACAAAGAGTTTCCTGCAAAGTCCAGCTCTCTATCTTATCTAGTCCTGGAGTTCGCTTCCCGCTAAAAAATTGCTTATTTTCCTGAAGGATCCGCACTTGGGACACAGACGTACACGAATAATATTAAAAGGGGAGGATCGCGCATATTAAGTGGGTATATATTCCGAAGCTTTAGTTTTCTAGCTTTTCTCGCCCATATACGTTTTTTCACTTGCATAATATGCAAAAACGCATAGTAAATACATAGTAGCAATTTTACAAATGCCAAATTGAAGATTTTCTGGGCACATGCATCCTAGCACTGACAATTATACAACTGTGCAGCACAGTCACTCAGAATAAAATCAGGTAATAATTTCGAACAAACAAAATAGAAAAAATTATGAAATTTTGCACCGATGTTTCTTTTTAAAAGTTCAGAAAAAGCAAAAAGTTCTGTTTTGTTCAGTCGACTGTTTCGCTAAAAAGATAGAAATACCCAACGATAAAAGAAGAAATCTGGATGTTCTTGACATTACAAACATTATAATAAGTATAGTTCTAGAGTAGCGGGCAAATTACAAAATAAGTATTTTTTCTACCCGACATCGCTGCCAGCTGCTTTTGTTGCAAACGTCGCTAATGATGATATGACCGAGAAGCTTACAACGGAATCGTCGCTTCTGGATAACGCGGTGAACGTGAGAGCGTTGAGACTGTTGTTTAGGAAGCAGCTATATTTGATTTTCGTCCTATCAAACCAAGCATAGGACAAAAATTCTTCAATCCGCTGTAAAATAAATTGTATTTTTTTCTCAAAAGCACTGCAGCGTAGTATTGTTTGAACCAGTCACCCTTTAAGTTGGACAGGATAAGACTATAGTCTCATCAGTTCCGGGTAAAAAAACTGCATGAACAACGACTAGACTTTTGTAGGCTGTGTTATGATCTGGACCATACCATAATTTATCACCATTGAAAAACCGTTCTCTTCTTAGTTTAAATGGATTGGCCGCTGATGTGAATTTGACAGTTGCTTTCAGAAACTGCGCTATTCAAGTTTCGTTCATCGGACACAGAGCAAAGTGGCTTGTCACCACTGAAAGTGTTTTGTTTTTCAGAACGAAACTTTTTTTAAGTTGCTATGCCGAATGCACACAATTCATCATTTCAGAGCATCAGTATTACTGTCAAAATTGCGCCAGGAATAGATGTTTGGAGGCTTTTGTGTGAGAAAGCAGAATTATGGCAAAATTACACTTGTGCTGCACACACGCATAATTTATTTGTGGGTGCCTATGTATTTTCCTGTCTATCTATATGATCTAGTTCCGGAAATAGAAAAGCCCAGCAAATGAGATTTTGAAAGCATAATTCATAACGCTCGCACAGAAATATAACTTGATTTCTGTTTATCGGGCATATACAATATGCACTATATCCCGACGTGTACAGTAGAAATAGACTATTGTGAAAAAGCATTATATACGAAACCTCTTTTACATGCGCAGTTTATTTCCATCGAACGCTTCAAGATAAAATATACGCCCAGAAGTCGGAAATCGGAGGGACTTGAAAATTTACATTGTGCCCCTGCACTAAGAACTGTTTCTTCAAAACTTAAGGCGGACAACGTGACATTCTAGTTTTCGAGCGTTCCTGATTAGTGAGAGAAGAAAATGCCGAAAATTTTACACATGGGAACGAAACGTGGGTAAAGATTCATTTTACAAACAGAGGTGTCCACATGGACTGCAAACATCCATATTAAGATAAAAATTCTTGTTCAGTCCAATTATGAATTAAGAGAGTGCCAGTAGTCTTAAAAGGCAGATGCATATTGCAAAGCACTTGCATATTTCAAAGAAGAGTTTAAATTTTTTGACCACGCGTAGGCATTGAAAATTATCATAAAGTTTTTACTTTCTGGCCCAACTGGTTCCTGAAATTTTTCTCCGTCCATTTTTCGTGACGCACCTTATACAGGAAACATGAAGGCTGAATCTAAGTTCTTTAGATTTCAGAAAGACAGAGGACATTCTCATATAATTCCAGCTTCGTAGCTTTTGTATGTCCAGAAACTGAAGAGTGCGGAAAACGGAGGAGAGAGTTGCAGTTGACGGTAAGCATTTCTGCATTTCACTAGTGATGCAAAAACGCACAAAAACCACAAAATATTTACGTAGGGGGGAAGGCGGAGGGCAGGTTGTACAATACGGGGGAGAGATGGCGATCTGTAATGTGCGTAATCCTGCCGACAATACATGTGCAGAGCTGAGTGTTAAGTTCTACGCTGGATGAATTCTTAAACTTAGTTGAATTCAGCCCCATAAAAGTCCTCTACCCTTCGTTAAACTAAACTATATTTACTCAAGAACCTATTTTTGTACGTGCAACTTTAATCTATCATTGCGTATGTTTTTGTAAATGGTACCTGACGCCAGCATCCATCGAGCATTTGCATAGTTCTCCTGCTGCTGTCTTCCAATCGACTTGTCTGATACATTTGCGGATCGTTTTGCGCGTGCGGTTTGCTTGTATGTATGGTTGGCAGCTGGAAGTTTTTCAGTAGTAAAAAAACTGCATTGGCAGCTAACCACTACACTTGACATATTAAACATAAACAGCAGTAAGATATCGCTTATTCACACGGCTGCATGCAAAAATAAGGTCCGTGTACACAGCACATATGCACTAATGTTGGAAATGTTTTTCCTACTAATCAACGAGCAGACTAACTTATGCTTCTGAAAGCAAGCTCCATGGTTGCTTCGCTCCATGAAGCAATCTTTGACGCATTTTCCAAACTCAACTGCTGTGTCCAACAACTTTCGGATCGGTTGTACAGTTGGATTATTTAAAATTTTTTCCTTCGACGACTCGAACTTCTCTTCCGCCAAAACAATAATTTTCTCAATGTCTTGCTTTGGTATCTGCGGCCCGTTTTTACTAGCGACACACCTGTAGAAAAAAAAAGACAGTCAAAAGCGTTACTTTATAAGTTTTTTTATGTTTATTTCTCTTAGATAGATGCAAACAAATAGCAGCGAGTACCTGGCCTGTCATGCGATCATACGTTTTTACGCAAACTCTAGTAGCACAAATAGTTACTCTATTGCAGTTTAATACGTACACTCATTTGCTACATATGGCAGGAGGGGGTGCTGGCTGATGGTTAGGACAGTATTGTCACGTTGTGGAGCTACGTGACATACTAATCTCCATTATGCATGATTACCATAAAGAGAATTCGTAGCTTAAATTTTCGTCGCTGCAATTTGTTGTGCCGATATGTGTAATATAGACGTCCGCAAAAACCAATTTTATGTCTGGGCAGCGCAGGCATGCATTAAAGCTGAGTTTGAAATCTTTAGCTCACACAACAACACAGAATATCTCTGTAAAGTTTCAGCTCGCTCTCTTGTCTGTTTTCCGAAGTTGTTTTTTCGCCAAAAATCTTGCGTTTTTTTTTTCAAACGTTTGTACATGAGACAGGCCTTGATTTCAACCTGTCTGGTCGCCAATGAGCAAGATATATTCTCGTAAAATTTAATTTCCAAGCTTTTGCAGTTACTGAGCTGAAAATGGGTAACAAAAAACCAAATGCACACATACACAGTACACATTCTGGCAATCTCCGTCAAAATGCATTTTAGCCGGGAACTGCGTTGTTGACAATGGCTGCATCCTTCTTTTAACCCATTTTGTTCCACTACTTCTGTTGGGTGCTGCATTTGCAGGGGCTCAAGAACGATGTAGGAATTGAGATTTGCAGAATTTGTACACAGTGATCTGGACGCAGGAAAGAGAAAAAGAAGTAATTCATTCCAGCGCATTTCAGCTCCCCATTCACAAAAAATGTATGTGTACGTAGCTTTTTGATAAGACTAAATTCTTCAGTGACTTTTATTTGATTGACAATAATAACATGCTGCTTGAAATTTCGCATTAAGATGTACCTTGTGTGCAAATGCCTGCCAAACCAGATCTATTCCTGAGAATTTTTTTAAAATGTGCTGAAAACAAGAAAAGTCGCCATTTTCTCTTCAAATATTTTTTAAAATGTTATAGAAACAAGAATCGGGAACACCAGCAATCATCACTTTCCCCTTCTGAAATGACACGTCTCAAGTATCTGCAGATGATTGAATCCCAATATGTATATATTTAGGATAATACATAAATAAAAGAGCTGTTAGTTTTCGGAAGCAAATCTACAAATCTCTCTAGTCGACTTTCATAGTTTCGAAATATTCCTTTGCTCATCACTCAGGGGAAAAGAATGTACTGATTTGTGCCGCTGTCTGAATATTTGCGGTAGTTGGCAAATCAGCTGAAAATTCTTTATCCACAAGTCTGTTTGACAAGCAGAATGAAAATGTACGCACAATTTCTGTAAAAATTATGAATAAAACAAAGAAAAATGGTTTTTTATTGAGCACTTGTGCAGCAGCCGCAGTGCAAAATCTATGAGATGCTCGAACAGTTCAGTCTCCGTTCAGTTAAGGCACTCAGTTCAGTCTGACTCACGAGTTAGCGTTTTGCCAGTATTTTCCAAATTTCAATTTTGGTGTGCTCGTGCTTGTGTTAAAGCTGATTTCGAAACCTTTTGCCCACATTTGGGCAATGAATACCCTTCCTATCTATCTTGATTTTCGAAATCGTCTTTAAATCAAAAAATTCGCATGAAAAAGTTTTAAGAAGCAGGAGTACGCAAACGCTGACTTCAAATTTTTAGGACAACACATGGACCTGGAATATTCCTGTAAAATTCCAAACTCCTAGCTTCTGCAGCAGATGAATTAAGTGTGGATGGCAAACATTCGGACACATAGACACATACATACACATACACGCACACTGACAATCTCTCAACAACGCATTTTTATGCGTTTTTGCACATATGTAAATTGCAAAAACGCATATTGGGAAGAGGCTGTCTGTGT